CACGCACACGCACACGCACGCACACGCACGGACACGCACGCACACGCACACGCATCTGCACTGAAGCCAACAGTGCTGCATGCCCTGCTACCTGCTCCTGCGACCCCCCAAGCCCCCCTGCCCGTGCAGTTGCCAACCTTCCGGGCTCTTCGTGGTGTCGGCAGATCGGCATCCTCAAAAGCGGCAAACAGCGGCATCACTCTTGCGAAAACCCGCCCATGGGCGTTGTAGAATCCTTAGAACTTCCAGCAAGCAGCTGATGCAGACACTGCACGGCTTCACCCCTCAGGTCCGAAAACCTGCGACGTGTGTAATTACCAGACCAAGCCTTGGAAGAGAACTCTAACATGCTCGCGGCCCTCTGGTGAGAGAGCGACGGCCCGCTGGAGCAGGGTCTATAAGGCCAGCAAGTCAACCCTTCCAGAACACATGCGGAATCCACGAAACGCAAATTGTGCAAACGTGCAGAGAGAGCAACACGACCGATTCCCGCAAATGGCAAAATTCCATGAATTTTCGAGACCACACCGACAAGCCTGCAATGCTGCAGAGTGTGGCCCTTCGCCGACTGCTCAGCCAGAATACGAGTGTCCCTGTAGACAAACGCGCGCAATCACGCACAGTGGAGGAGTGTGCTGAGGTGCTGGATTGAGCAATGAAGACGGGGTCTCAGGTGTACGGGGCCTGCAGAAGACTGTGGCGAGAGAGCGATTTGGTCCGAAATCAGCACCGTTTTAAATCGGCAGCTGCGGAACCGTCCGCGCTTCCACGCGGTGATCGTCTGAACTCCCGTGGACAATCCTAACGAACCAAGCCTGCAAAATCTTCAAGTACCTGGCATGCACACGACGCAGTGGCCTCGTGACCTCTGACTCGAAATGGATGCAAGGCAACCTCGCGGTGCGGCTTCACAAGGCATTTGCACCACAGCTGGGCTTCTCATGAATGCCATGCAAAACACACAGTGACGACATGCGATTGCGCAGACCATAATATAAAAACGTTTCTCGCTGTAGACTGAAGAGCTGCAGCCCTAATCTGTCCTGAGAGTACCATGTCACAGCATCTGCTGCTCACGTTCTGTGGCTGAAGCTTGGAGGACGGTACCAGCACTAGTAGAAGTACCAGAGGGAGTGGGAGTGGTAGTAGTAGTAGTAGTAGTAGTAGTAGTAGGTAGTAGTAGTAGTAGTAGTAGTAGTAGTAGTACTCGTACTAGTACTAGTACTAGTACTAGTACTAGTACTAGTACTAGTACTAGTAGGAGTATTGCTTGCTTTTGCCACGATGGTTACAGCCTAAGCCCAAGCACCCTGCGCCC